AGTGGGATTGATTGTCACATTATAACGCCCCCACCACTGAAAGGGCGAGCATGTTTAGTGGGATGGGGATACGAACCCGTGGCCCTCAGACTGCGAGTCGAGCGCCCTAACCACCTGGCCATGTCGGGCCTATAAAATTATAATTATATAAAGTTAGCTCCTTGCTCTCCGTACAAAGAAGTCCTAAAAGAGACTTCCTTATGTTCATTTAAAGAAACCACAAGGGTTTAAACATAGGTCTCTGTTTTCTATATTAATACATCACAAAGGTTCAGTTAAACGTGTCTTCCCAGTTATTTGTATGAAGTAAATCATAATGTTTTACTGTTTTCTGTCACCCATATATATAAACCACAATGGTATAAACATAGCCCCTTGCCAGTTTTTGTGTTTGTTTTTGTTATTGTTTTCTTTTAAGTGCAAAAATATACCAAAAGCTATCTATGGTGTGTTCACGACAGGAAATCGAACCTCAAATTTTAGTGTTAAAAGCCTTCATACTTGCTGTCAAGCAACTGAGAGGCTCTCCTTGTTATCTGAACATGATTATGTGATTAATTGTCATTTTTAGGAAATTATAAAAATTATAGAATAAATTAAACGTTTTTAGCTGAACAAAGGGCAATGATACTTAGTAGTAGTAAACTCACCTCAGTGCTACATCACCATTACAGAAAAAGGTAAAAACGTTGGACACAACCCCTCCAGGGCAGGAAGAGACTATTAGCATACCAATCGAAAACAATGCGGGAAGATGGAGGATGTTCATTAAGGCAAAGGCAGCCAGGGGTAGAAGAAGAAATTGACAGGTTAGACTTATGGCTACACCTACTGGTCGACGAAGTTTATTCCAGATCTGTATTTGAATCAAAAGAGGGGAAAATCATTATTCAAACGAACTTAAAAACTTATTTTATTATGAGATTACAATAGCAATTTAAAAAATAAATATTGATATTTTACTCAAATACTGATTTAAACAACCACAAAAAAACGATAGGTACTAAGCCTGTAACAATAACCTTTTTTTTCTTCCCAACTGCCCCTCCCCCCATTCCCCCAGTGACACAACGGTATGTCTGCAGACTTAGAACGCTAGAAACCGAGTTTTGATACCCATGATGGGCAGAGCACAGATAGCCCATTTTTGTGTGTGTTTATCTTCAAACAAACAAGCTACTTACAAACACTCTACTGATACTTACTTTATATTCAGTTTCCAGCTTACTTCCTGGTAGTGTGTATTAGAAATTTATAACTTGAAAAAAAGTATAAGCTGCTTCTCCCCGCTGGCTCAACGGCAAGTCTGGGGGATTATAATGCTAAAATTCTGGTTTTTATACCCGCGATGGGTAGAGGACAAATAAGCCATTATGTAGCTTTGCGCTTAACAATAAATGAAGTGGGTGTGAAAGTTTTTCATTTTTGAGTGTAAAATTGCATACCAGCTCTGCCCTTGGTGAACGCCCGACAGATCTGGTAAAAGTCCACAAGTAAAACTGAATTCTCAGTCCATAATGAGCTTTTTTTTTTGAAATTCTTGTACTACACATTAAATGTCTTTCCTTAAAAGTTTTGCAGGCTATTTTAAGGAGACTTCTCTCCTCCATCCCTTTTTTCTTGAAAACAAGTACTAACTGGCTAAAAATGAACAAAATCTCTGCGAGGATTTTCAGTAGCGTTCATTCTCCAAGAAAATTGTTGTAAGACAGGGGAAGTGGATCGGAAGTGAAGAGGTGTAGCAGTCTAGCAGAGAAATGGCATAGCAGTTGCGTCACTTCTGGTTCAAAGCAGCCCATTTCACAGTAGATATGTGATCAAGATTTCTACTGTCTAAATTTGGTACATTTAATGCATGAAAGTTAATAATAATAATAATATTGAATTTTTCTTCTACGAAACACTATATTCTACATCAAGAAGTAAGAAATATCCTAAAAGATATTTTAATTATGAATACTTTTCTAATTCAGGCTTAAGTGGTTATTCTAGCCCTAGTATAAACTGGAAGTTAAATGGTGTGCACCAGAAGAAAGTGGGAAATTTAAACAGCAGCAATATTTTTATTCTCTACAACTTGGGAGGAAGAGATCCAAAGTGAACGTGACCCTCCCAGGTCGCGCACAACGACCAAATATCGATAATGCTCAGTCTACACAACTTAAACATCACACAGATCAAACGACTAACGAAAGGCTTCGTCCTAGTAAAGGGCGCTGATCCCAAAGATTTTAAAGTTTTCCTTCAGAGCTAACTATTACTGATTTACACCAGTAGATGGCATCAATGCACGAATATGTTATACTGCCTTTAGTCGATGATTCAGTGCAAAGGCGGAGCCGATGTATAGTACTGTCCCTTTCGTATTGATAAGCTCTCACGAGACATGCGGGTAACTAATTCTTTCAATTAGAAGTTCTATGTTGTTACAAATTTTTTTTCAACAATTGGTCAAGCTAATATTTAGGAATGCACACAAGCCAATCATAGTAACCACGGAAATATAAAACTAGTAAGAGTAAAGACTGATTGCTGCTATTAAACAGCACAGACAGATAGATTGCTAATATTCAAACTTATTAGTACTTGTCAAAGAACTGTTCAATAATATTTAGTATTCTTGATTTCATAGCAAAATGTGATCTGTATTATCTGAAGTATATATTCTGTGAATTTATACAATTTTGGATTGTTTTATAGATTTATCTGTGTTGCTTGTTTTGTTCTTTATGATAGGTATACTTAACATGCAAATTAAGTGTTACATAGTAAAGCTAAAATCTATGGTTTTTGGAAATGAATTCTATTCCAAATTTTCTAAAAATAAATGAAGTAGAAATAAAAACTCGACTTATTTTCTGATATTTAGGACATCGAATATTCCAATAATTCGAGATGGACCTTCTAATATGTACAGTATTCACAACGCTTCAAGTGAAGAAAGTTAGTGTAAAATACATTGCGCATTTAAGGTATTGTTGCGTATCTGCTTGTTTGTTAATTTTCGGTATAAATTCTTTCCGAGGAACTTCAGCGATACAAGTCCTTTCTTAATTAAACCAGTTTTTTTTTTTCGATACAACTTTGTAATACACAGAATTTCCAATCAACACCTTAAACTTAACTACTTTTATAACACACGCTATAAATCACAGTGATTCACACACTTTACTTACGGTGCCTACTGTTCGATTGACACAATTATCTATATCTTCAATCTGCCTATATCGCTTCTAATTTATCTATCTCTGCCATACCGCTGGTTTTTCTCGCCAGGCTTATATACTAAAAAAGAGGGCGCCTCGAACAAACTCGAGCTTCCCCGATAATTCATGATCCTTCGAGAAACTCCAGCGCGCATGCTCCCAGCGTCGCGTGAATTCCGCTGTCGAAACAGTATTGTCTGATAAACCGTCATGCAGCACAGATTGTTACGTTATGATACAGAAAACAAAGCGTTTGTTCATAGTTCCTTCTCAGCGTGTCCATGCGTGTCACTCATAAAATTTAGAGTTCTCGTGCATTAAAAATTACCAGTTATTTTATATTACACACACATATACATATATATATATATAATTACGTAGGTAAAAATGCCAACTTTGTCTGCATAGTGAGATCATCGCGATTTTTGTAATCGGTTTCATTTTACATATTACGGGAAAGCTGTCACCCTTACGACTGAGTTCTAATTGTAAATGTGTCATGCATCACACCGTCAGGTCAAATAACCTCAGGCAAGATACAGCTACATTGTCTAATTAGTAATCAACCTCTGGAAACCAACACGATTATAGATAAACGAAAAAAAGATCAATGACCAAGAAATATATAATACTCCCCTTCTTGAGAACTTAATTACAATTACATAAAACATGTCGAAAATATAAACTCTTATTTACAATTATGATTTCAAAATGCAGAAATATATATAACTACGTAATAAGCTGTTTTATAAAACCACTTGCTGGGTTTCTTACTAATCTTCGTATTAATAAAACTTATATAATACAGTAAAAATTCTATGAACTGAGAAACAAACCATTCATCTGTATTTCATAAACTGTGTAAACTCAGTTTACAGAAACTGAAACTTTTATACGGCTAATTTGTGTTGTATGTGAGGATTTCAATAATGACAATATTTGGAAAATAGTTTCAACATTTGTGAACTGAAGATAAAAAATATAAAACTATAAACACGTGTAAAACTTTACACATAAATAGTTTTTAAGCTCATGTATAAAAAACAGACTTTACTTAATGGTACTGAGTGATCATCTTCACCCATGTTACAGCATTTCTGTCATGCAGAGAGGGGGTGTCTTTCAAGATGACAATGCCCCCGTCCACAGAGCACAAGTATTCGCCCAATGTTTGAAAAACATGACACTGATGTTATCCATATGTCGTGGCTTTCTCAGTCACCAGATCTGAACCCAATCGAGCATGTATGGAATATTCTGGAACGACGCCTGAGACAGCATTTTCCACTTCCTTCAAGTAATAGTTTTTAGGAAAATCTCAGCTGACCTCATAAAAACTAATCACGTTCGAAACAGATTGAAAATTGGAAAAGTTGTAATTTTATGTAATTATGTGTAATAATGCAAAGAAATGACTGCAGAATACTAAAAGCACGTATTTTTAGCCGCAGCATAGCGGCTCGTAGAATGACTCTGAGCGTTTATATTACGTAATGAAAACTAACATCAATCCAAATTGTTTGTGAGGTTGGACTATGTAACTTTGTAAAAAATATCAGAATAAACAACATAGCCATGTGATTTTTAACACAGATGTAATACTGCAAACTTGGATAAAATGAAAGAAGGACTGAGGAAATTTCCTTTTGTTTTAACCACATTTCCAACACGTGTGCCAAGTACAAATTGTCGCAATGAGATGTCTTTTTGCTTGCAGGCATTATACACAGTCGGGGACAAGTGGCCACTATGTTCCCTGGGTTTCATTAGCCAGTACCAAACATTATCCCCCTAACCAACACTGAATGTTATATGAATGACCTTCACAAGCAGTACAGTGAAAATAACTGAGGGGATAAAATAACAATGAGCTATCTCTAAAAATAAAGTTCTAAGTGGCAATTATTATATTTTAATGATGCAAAATCATAACATGATCGCGGAATATTTCAAAAGTAAAAGTAGTTGACCTAACTTTCATCCAAATAACCTTCTTTAAAACATTGAAGAAAGCAACCATGGTGGGGTTAAATAACCACAAGTTAAAGGGTTTGTTTGTTTGAAGTTAAGCACAAAGCTACACAATGGGCTATCTGTGCTCTGCCCACCACGGGTATCGAAACCGGTTTCTAGCGTTGTAAGTCCGACGACATACCGCTGTGCCACTGGATGGCCAAGTTAAAGAGATAGCCAATGGTCACAAAACAGGAAGCAAAGAGTATTATAATAACACAAGTATAGTTGAACGGTAGTCACAACAAAGAGAAGGTGAAACTGGTTATAAAAAATGAATAAAAGAGTAAAAAAGGAAATAAGAAACCTGGCTAAAAAAAAACTAACTAACTGTCATATTCTGAATCACTTTTCACAAACTGAGATTTGGCTAACTCACTATGAAAAATTTCGTGTTATAAATTTCATTTATAACAATGAAAAAATTAGCATTTTTTTAGACTTTGTATGCTATAATGTTTTATAGTTTTATTTCATATGTATTCTATGAATTGGCGATTATAGGGATCTGTAAAATCCTTATATAGTTTACACAAATTTTACATAAACACTAAAGGAAAATCTGAATTAAAAATATGTTGTCACATCGGATAATAAAGTTTTATAACTAAATAGTTAGTCTAGGCTTCTCTCTCAT